GGGTCAAAGGGGAAAAGGAGGGACCCTTAATGGGGACCCCTGGGACCCTATGATGGGCTATAGAATGGGTATATAATAGCGATATTAAGGGAAAAAACCTAGGGGCCTTGGATAATAGGGTGTTCTGTGAAGGGTTTCAGGTTTAGGGTATAATATGGGAGTTTCCGAAAATTGGGGGGGGGGGGGGGGGGGTACCTTATATTTTGGGATGTTTTGGGGTCCCTATATAAATGATCCTACTATTTAGGGTACAGTATGTGGATCCCGCATTTTTGGAAACCCCCATATCGGTGCCTTCCTGGGGACTTTGGAGCTTAAAGATTAGGGAGAGTTGGATACGGGCAGCACCCATGCAGGATGTGCTTACCAGATACTAGGAAGTGGGTGCGACTTGTTCCGCGAATTATCCGTGGCCCACCAAAACAGGGACCGAACTTTTTGGGTTATCAGTCATACACTGCGAGCCGAATTGGCTAGACAACCCTGCTTTCGGCACCACTGCCGGTGCTGCCTCCTTCCCATACCCCCTTTAGGGACCCACAAAACCGACCAACAAATCGCAAAGAGCTTGCGACAAAGGTGCTGTGGGGGCAAAAGCCGGACAAGCCCAGCACCAAGCTGGATCAAAAGAGCTTTCGGCACAGCTCTAAGCTCCTCTAAGACCATAGGGCGGATTCACTGGGATCTGTGTCACAAGTTAGAACTTTGGGGATTTATGTCATAAATCCCCAAACGCTGTAGGCCCTATAGTTCCCAGAAGCCCTACAAACATCCCCCGAAACCCTTTTCCAGACAGGGCCGGTCAGAAGATTTGTAGCGCAGGGATGGTTAACGGTTAACGCACACCCCTGATCCATAAAACCCCCTGCCATTTGTAGGGAGTACGGTAGGGATCTTAATATTGGGGCCACTTAAGGGTTTTATGAATCAGTGAAGGGATTGTGGAGTCTACGGGCGTGGTTAAGGATTCAGCACGGAGGATTAAGTTGCCAGGCTTGGGGCGAAACAGACAGAAAGATAGAGACACAGAGTAGGAGAGGCAGGCAGAACGAAAAGAGACACGAGCCAGCAGCTCGCCAGACACTGTGCAGATCACGCAACCAACGCACAACCAAAGCAGCACGTTTTCCTCTCAATCTGTCGATACCAAGGCACTGCTTTCGTGGAGCTGTAAGGGGACAGGTCTTTCCGAGAGATCGAAGCAAACCAGCGCGGACAGCACCAAGCTCTTGAGAGAGCTTGAGGCTAACGGAAACTTGCTGACGTTTTGCAAGCCCTGAAGTGCCTTACGCTAGAAGCCCAGTTTCCTGTGTTGTAGGCTATTGTCCGTTTATAACCAGGGAGTTGATACCCATCATGTGGTTAATTGCCAGTGTAATTCCTCAGGGTTCCTTATTAAACCCCAGACCTTATTCTAAGTATGAAGGCCCCTACATGACCCGGCCACGAGAGCGCTGAGGATCTTGGTAACCCTGAGCCCGAAACCGCGAACCCCTGAAGAGGATCTTCCTGAGCATTCCGCTGAAAGATGTTACCGAGCCGGAGGTGGAGCTGGAGGCACAGGAGTAGGAAAAGATGCGAAGCCACAAGCATTGTAGCAGGGTCCCTTTAGGGGTCCCCTTGAAGGTTCCCTTAAAGAGCTTCTAAACAAATCCCTAAGAAGCCTTATATAGGTAGGACAAGATCAGATGCCTAATACGGAGAGTTTCGAAAATGAAAGATACCTTGGTGTTCCTTCAAAGGCTTACAAGAAGGGTACTATAAGGGCCCCTTTAAAGGACTCCATAAGGGTTTATATTTTTCGAAAATTAGGGGTACCTTATTGCCGGGTCCTTGTAATTAGGATTCCAATATTTGTTAGGGTCCTCTATTTTCGGAAACTCCCATATAGGTAGTTGTCTAAAGTAGGATCCCTTTTGGTGTCGTGTTCGTAAGCAGGCCGCACTATTTTCGGAACCTAAAAGGGACCCACCATCCTCACTAGAATAGGATTTTTTACTGTAATTGCAACAAGGAACCCCAGAATAGTGTTGGCATTATTGGCCAGAGTCTCTAGTATCTGTTCAGCCTGCCATATTACAGGTCCGTCCCACATTCCTGCCCCAAAGAGATTCGGAATAAGCCCCAGAAATCCTGGCAACAAGAACCTCCAGCCCAGCTCAACCCTCTGACAGCAGTACTACTCCAACCCTAAACAATAATAGAAACAAGATGAAGAAGAATACAAATGATACTGCCGCTACTGCGACCGCCCAGCCTGAACGGTGCCACTCCGCTTAAAGACTGACATTAACTCTTTACTCCTCCTACTCTATCTCCTGCTCCTCCTGTCGCCTCCACTACTCCGGTGCAGCTATCATAGGATTATTGATGGACAATTGACGCGAGCACAAAGAACACGGTTGACTTTGGCAGACGCTACTCATGGTGACATTGAAGGCGAATTTGCAGAGCAACACGTAGGTTCCCGACGATACCCTGGTGCTCTTGATCCCTGGGCATTCAGGGACGTCAGAGTTTCAGTTTCAGAGTTTAGGAACCAACCCGCACGCGAGGACCAGCGGGTCTACTTCCGTGGTGTGAGCCAGGGACAAGAGTGGGAGGCCTCGGGTCTCAGGGCTTGTCAAGAATAATATAGCATACAGTATAATATAATAATATACTATACTACATTACGACATAGCACAGTATCGTATAATATGACATAGTATATTGTCAGAATTTATGGGCATTGCTCGGGGTTGTGACGGTTTGGACTCCAGACAAAGCCCCCGCAACCCGTCCATTGATGAAGATGGCAGATAGAGTGCTTCGCAAGGAGTTCTCCTGCGGGCTTGGAAGGACTTGAAACCTTGAGCCAGAGGCATTCCTACAGAGCTCCAGGCTTCTGGGCATCGTCTATAGGACATACCTTCAAAGTTGTTAGGACCTCAACCCCTGCAATGAGTTATTTCAAGAGATCCTTGTAGTGACGGTGCCGTCATCCACTGAAATCCGAGCGACCTGCCCATGAGCTTTCGACGCTACTTCCTTTTGCAGCGGCTCCTACATAATCCCCAACCAAGGTTTCAAATGCTCTGATTCAGAAAGGCTTTGCTCTACCCCTATACCCTAAGCCACTTAAAAAAAGAAGCAAAAAGTATAGCCTAGAGCCCCACTTGCAACTTGGAAGTCGTTCATTCAATGGAGTGCAGGGCTGAATCAAGTATCACAAAGACGGCCGCTCCCGAAGCCACAACCCCACGAGGGTTCAAGGCCGGGGGATTCTGAAAATCAGGGTAGTTATAAGTCGTGGTTGTAAGTAGGAAAACTATCGTCACGCTCATGTTAGGGGATTAGTACCATTATAACTACCCATGAACCTCTAGGTGATGTCGGCAAGAGCTAAGCCCCTGCTAAGAAGCATTCCATCAACTCTGAGCTTTAAGATGGATCCGGCCACCCAAAGTCTGGAACTTTTTGGCTACTAAAGCCCTTTGGTTGCAAGCCTGATAAACTCAAAGTTCTTACAAGACATCACTACAAAAGGCTACAAGCTTCAAGCCTGCAGGCCCCTCCTACAGTATGCAGCTAAAGCCTCGCCAGGTGAGCTTAAAGCTCCTTCGCAGCATCAACGCCAGGGCCTGGACGACGGCTCTAGAAAAGGGCTTCTGTGTGCAGATGCTGTACGACGGGTCCATACCACCGTTTGGTTATGGGGCCCGAATGTAGACGGTAGGTAGGGCTGAGGGGTTGGGGTTCAGCACAGGGTCTGCGGTGCAATGCGGCGCAGATCCGCCAGGCAGTTGACGAATCTTTGTCTCGGCTTTCTAGACTCTTAGACTCGAGGCAGTCAAGGTTTTTGGGTTTGTTGGACAGATGCTGATGGTGTGGAGACGGTACGGGTGCTAGGAGGTGGGTAACTTTCCTGGGTGAATGTAATAGTAGTCTGTATCCCATTCTCTCTCCATGTAGAATGAAGCTACAAGCAATGGGTCCAGGGCCGTGACTTTGGGGCGTGAGACTTAGCTTCAGCGCTCGATGTTGGAGGATGCTGAGTGAAGGTTCAGGATGCCCTAAATCTGGAACGCCCATTGCACTCAAGGAAGACCGTTACAATAATACCGATGGATCACAGGTATTGCAACTTGTCGATTCAAGACTCGCCCCGAGTTTACCAGGACCTTGTTAATGGTGCTGCTGCTCCTATTCAGCGTCTGAATGGCGCAAGCTACGACATCAGACTTGAAAAGACTACCCGGTCAATAATTAGAATAGGTTTTCGGGCTATTCTATAGTATAGTCATGATACTGTAAGGAACCCGCAGGACTACTATTGGTACCAACAGTTCTGCTGGCTTGTTCTTTGTCTACACTGTCCTACACCCTTACATGTAGGACCTTTCATTGGATGACTCCTTTTTATGGTTAGGATCCCATAATCGGAAACTAAGCTTACCAAAAGAACGTATTACATTCAACCCTTAACCCTGAACCCCTGAACCCCTCAACCCAAACTTATACTACAAACAAAGACTTCAGACGAGCCCCACGCCGTCCCGAAGGTCAGCACCAGCAAGTACGACCTGGACAAGAAGGCTTGATTCCCAGAGACTCCACCCCGAATTGCGGAATATGCCTTCAAAGGGACTCTGAATGTGAATTTTTGTAGCCATATTCCTCAATCAGTTGGTCTTCAAATCTCTATGCCGAGAGCTTCAACGTTGTGTGCGTCGATCTGTGCAGTACTGCAGTACTGCTGACAATTGTCTTTCACTGAGTGTTCCTACTAGCTTACATTGCTAAAGGGACCTCAACAACTAGACTAAGGTTTGGGGCTGTGCATGGGTTTGTGTATACATATATATATATATATATATACACATCAATAAACATGTGGATAACATCCAGATGTACATGTAGAGGGACTGCGACTATAAGGGAGTAAGTGCGATGAGTTACTGTTACTGTTTGTTCAGATCCCTCAAAGTACCTGGATGCCTGCTCCGATCTGACCGGCCATGGCGATGCCAGAAGGTTCCGCCAAGATGCTGCGCATCTGGACGGCGTCAGGAAGAGAGGTGGGGCTTCCAGAAAGTACTTGTAGGAGTACAGTTCCTGGGTGCTACAAGTCTGCACACGGATGTGCAGATGTACATGTGTGCGTGTGTATAAATATAAGGTAAAAGCCAGAAAGTTGGAATATGATTATCCTAACCCTTCTATGGTAAATTATAGGGTATCCTACCATGAAACCATATTCCAACTTTCTGGAGTTCCCTGTAACGCATATGTGCACCTTACTTGTTTGTTGTTGTTCTTGTATTTGCTGATAGGTCGATTCACCCTCATGTTCTGAACGTCCCAGGTGGTCCTTGCCAAGGATGACGTCAGCGATGTACGGACCTTGAAACAACGTCTCCAAAGCAAGTTCAAGCTCTCACGATTCAGACAGAGACTTGTACATGACGGTCGAAGCTTGGATGATGAATGCGCCGCGGTGGACTTGCCAGACGATCTGCAGTTGCTCGGTTCGTATTAAGGGGTTTAATTTGAGTTACCATAGCAGGGAAAGCAAATTATTTACGATAGATCCCTTTTACGGTATTTCAAACAAAGCTCCTTAACAAGAACCCAGGTTGGTCCTGCTATCCTTCTCTGAAGCGTCGGAAGAGCAAGCTCTCGAGCTCATCACGGCTGCTGGACATGGCAACGTTGCATCTGTTGAAGAAATTCTCCAACGACCACAAGACCCCAACAGACTCCGGGTTCGTGTTCAGGAAGCTTTGTTTAAGTCACCACATGTTGGGGAATTTGGGCATGTATAGAAAAATAGAAACACTGAACCCACAACCCTAGACCCTGAACCCCACCCCAACTTAAGCACTGAAGCTACCAGAACCCCGAATACCCAAACTCACAAACCCTAAACCCTCAACTATGGACTCAGGACTCGTCCCTGATGCGGCTTTTCCGAGGCTTCCCCATCGAAGCCAGACAGCTCTCGCCTGTGCTGCCTGCATGGGCCATCGCGAAGTTGTAGCCGGGCCCTTCATGAATACTTCTGCGGTGTCAAAATGGCATAGCCTTGTCCATTTCAATAGAGGATTATAGTCGAAGTTTCAGAAGAAGCAAAGAGCCCATGTTACCAAAGAGGTTGTTTTGTGAAGAAACACAGCTTTTTTTAACGTAAGGGCTTGCAAGAAATACCCAGGTAAGGCTGCTATTAGAGGCATCTGCTGACAAAGAGGGCCATGGATGCTTCGGTCTCGATCGGGGCTGCTTTGGTCCGGCTCTTGTCTTGGCAGCATGCAGAGGACATCAGAAAAAGAGGGGCCACTTGTATACGATCCGAAGAGACTACCATCCGCTAGTACCCCACTCGCTTTAATGAACCCATATAAGGGCATGAAGCAGCCCCTTTTTTTATGAAGCCCCATCTAGAGGACATCTGGACGTTGCGCACCTTCTGTTGGAAGCAGGTGCCTTGAAAGAGGCCACGGGAACCTTCTACAGCGCATTCTACCGGTACGACGCAATGCCCCTGATTGCAGCCATCGAAGGAAATGACGGAATACGCCGCCAGGGTGGTATTGAAGGTCCGGATGATACCAGCATGAAGATGGTACGGCTTTTGTTGGAGGCAGCTGCCAACCCAAACTCCTCGGTCTCTTCATGCTTCGTGGAACATGATGCCAGACCCTTGGTCGCGGTATGTCAAGCTGGACACCTGGAAGCTGCACGAGTTTTGTTGGAGGGCAGTTTCGCTGGTGATGCCGGGCCAGCTCAATTGCATCTCGCTCCGGCGCTCGTCGCGGCAGCATCGGGAGGACATATGGAGATCGCGCGACTGCTTGTGCAGGCCGCACCGCCCAAGCTGGATGCCTGTCACAATGCGATGCCCCAACAAAGAACTAGCCTTTCTGTGCTCACACCTCTTTTTTCTGCAGCCTCCTGGGGTCACGTCGGCATTTCGGATCTGCTGTTGAAGGCAAGCGCGCACCACGACAAAGTCTGCGGAGATCATGGGATAACAGCTCTTTCAGCAGCCGCTGGCAAAGGGCACGCAGAGACGGTGCGTTTGCTGTTGGGAGCGGCCCAGGGCCGTGGCGGCAACCCCGGGAAGACTGCAGATGAGCTGATGTCATTGACAGAACCAAACCTTACTGACAGCCACATGACAGAGCTTCAATCAAGCTGGGTAAGAGCTCGAGCAAAATCGTAAATCGTGCTGATTACGGATTGATTTGGGGGCTTTCCACTGTCGCCTATGGGCTTGAACGCTTGCAGTGGTGAAGTGCCGAGGGTTTTAGGCTTTAGGGTTCCCAACCCTAAACCCTAGACCCCGGTTCGTGCTTTTTAAGATAGTTGGTTTGAGACCTAGGTCAGAAGCATGGTGCAATTGCTCGTGCTCGTGCGCAGAATCTGCAACAGCGTGCGGCATCTCTCTAGCAAAGCCGACACCGAAGCAACATCAATGTTCCTGGACCCTAAACCCGACACAAAGACTGGCAATTTGCCTGAAACAGAGGCCTAAGCTAACTGTGACATGGTACCTAGCGCCCTGTGCAGCGCCCTAAATTTAGAACCACTGGGGACTGAACTGAAGCCACCAGCCCAAGACCAAATGACCTGTGTTGAACATACCTCCACATGTCAACCGTACTGCCGTAGTGACCATGCTTCCCAGATCTGCCAAGTAAGGCTTCTAAACATCTCTATACTGCAACACCATAATCACGACAAGCCCTAGAACGCCTATATCCGAGAAACCCCCCAAGGCTCTAAAATTCGACCGCTCCTGAGTCCTTGCCCTTAAGACTTTACACCTACACCGCCAAACGTGAAACCGTTGGCCTTTGAAGCCGACTAATCCCACCACGCACCGTGAGACCTAGCCTAGTCCGAGTTCTGAAGCCTGGAAGAGAAGCCTTAACTTAAGCCCCAACTCTGAAATCCTAAACCCTAAACCCTAAACCCTAAACCCTTCTAACCCAAAACCTCAGGGCGTCAACTTCGACCTACCGAAGCTCGTCTCGGAGCCTTGTTGGAAGCGGCTGCTGAAATCGAAAAAGCACGGACGCCCAGACCAGACCTGATCTTGCCTCCGCACCCCGAGCCCCGACCCACATAGTGTCCTATGCAACGTTTAGCCCACCACTCAAACTTATGGAACTAGATATGTGTATCGTGGCTGACAAAGCTTTAAACCCCAAACTATCCTGAACACTAAACCCAGCGATGAGAAATTTGCGATCAGGTTTTGATGTCAATTCCCATCTGTTGTGTTTGGGGTTTCTTAAGAGATCTTAAGAGGAGGGGTTTCCATTGAGGGATCCCCCATCCTAGTACGTTAGGGCATCCCAAGTTCTGTACGGTGTCTGTCTAAGACTCGCAGTGTTCGCCACAGGCCCATGCCGCACGTCAAGAAGGCGCTTTCTGCAGAGAGTTCACCTTGGATGATTTTACATTCTATGATAACGCACACCCGCGGGGTGATTAAACATGGTTTTGATGACCCGGGTGGCTATGGCACAGTCTCTAGTATCGGCCTTTTTGGACTTTAGGGCGCACTGTCGCCGCATGACTTGTGTCATGAGCTCCAAACCTCAGAGCTTACTTCAGGGTGCAGGATCTTGTCTGATTGGTTTGCAAATGGCATGTGTAGCTCATTGTGCAGCGGTGTCGTGACTCGAAGGAGTCGGGCCTTTGGTGTTGGGCCCGGACGTGAAAAAGTCAGGTGTTTGTGACTTTTCTGACTCTGGAGATGTCTGGAAGCTGACTTTGCCGTTCCCTGGGGACATAGGCACAAGGACCAGGCTCTGCGTTGTCCGATGGCATTTGTTTGTCTGCTCATGTCGGCCAGACGCGAAGACATCTTTCGCAGTTACCATTCCCAAAACGGTTGGCGTTCCATCGCGGACGGTCTGCGGGTTTTCTTTCCAACCTGCGCTACCGGGTGCTACCGTCGTTCGAAAGCACGATCCTGCAACTTTCAGTAGCATACCCTAGGCCTCGACTCCTAAACATCGATCGCAGGCTAGGGAGTTTTGAAAAGTGCGACAATCGATTCGGCCCTGGACAGGACACCTCGCGATTATACCCGGATGAGTGCTATGAGAAGATGTTGCAGTGGAGGGAGGTCGCCTGACAGTGATGGGTTCAAGGTTCAGGGATTTCAGGGCTCAAAGTTCCGCCATTCTGCAAAAGGTTTGATGGATGAATGAAGTTTAAGGGGACTGAGCAGCACCGATGGACAGGAGCCAGATTAATGTAGGAACCTGATTTAAGAAACATTAGGCCTTTATTAGAATTCTTAATATGAATCCTACTATTTTGGGGTTATAGGCCCAGGGTTTCTTAATCCGGTTCCTACATTATCCCGCAGAAGCTAAAATCTTCGCATTCCAGATATACTGGTCGCGGCCCTGAAGCCTGGTGGGATCTAGGCAGGTAGACTGTAGTCTGCTTAGGAATTGTTTTTTGTTTTTGTTCATATGGGAGTTTCCGAAAATTAGGGGTACCCCAAAATGGGGTCCTTATAATAAGGATCCTATTATTTAGGGTGCTATATTAGGGTCCCCTATTTTCGGAAACTCCCATATAAATCCGAGAGAATATTGAAGATGTTTTTTAATTATGGTTCTAAGGGGGGTAAAGTAGACTTCTAGATACCCATTGAGACAGCGGCGTCGAGGTTTGGTAGCGTGACTTCTTTACCCTGAAACTCCAAAAAGAAAGCCAGGAATCGGAGTGGAAAGCAAACCCTACATAGTTAACAAACCCTAAACCCTAAACCCTAGGGCCCTTCAAACCTCACACCGAAATCCCTAAGTGAACCGCAAGACGAAGCCCTTTAAACCCCGGTATCTCACCAGGCCTACTTCTATGCCAAGCTGCACCCCGAGGTGTCTTAGAGGGCATTCGGGCTTCCAGACTTTGGATCTCAGGGCACGAAGGGTCGAATGTAGATGCTGGAAGGATAACATGTCTTTGCCCGTAGCGTTCTTAGAGTTCCTCGATAGAGCTATACCATAATGTCAGAATGGTGCATGCTTGCCTGTTTTTGCCTGTAAGTAGCGTAGTGTTTCAGTAAAGCTATATACATATACCATGAAGTATGCAGGGACCCGATGCTAGTGATGAGGTATGATTGAGACCTCTATATAATCGCAAGAATTTTGGCTTTTTGCGCTGCACAGACTCCGGTTGTGAATCATGTCCAGTTGCAACATCAAAAAACCGTTGGCCTGCAGCACAAGTGCAGCAAGGTCTAGGCTAGCGTGTCTGTGGGATTCAGGACCTCAAGATTTAGCTTTAGTAAATTAGGTTCGGGTGACTTTCAGGGAAGCAAGTAAACGAATGCAGCCCCACGGTTGGACAAACTCTCCTCTGGCACGGCATCTGCCAATCGTCTCATGTTTGGTGCCACCTTCTTGAAAGCTGTGGTACCCCTAAGTCCCGTAAGAACTGATCCCAAACCAGAAAGCCAAGATCCAAAATCCAAATGCCGAACCCAAACCCTAAAGCCCAAATGAGCCTTCCGCCTACACTCATACCGAGCTTCCATGCGGGAGCCCTGGTACTGAATCCAAAACCCTGTTCCGAAGCTCAGAAGACCGATATAGGCTTTAGCTAGACCCTTCAGTGTAGTACCTTTTATTAGATGACTAGCTTTATGGTTAGGATCCCATAGTAAGAAACTACGGTCACCAATAAAGTTACTTCATTTAAAGGTCCAGGTCGTGCTGAGCCTGAAGTCCGCACCCCAAATCCTGGGCCCTCACCTTCAGAGCCGCAGATTTCGGGCTCGGGGTGTAAACTCCAAATCCCAAGCTGAAGCCGGGCGCGTGAGTCCCAAAGATTGGGATCTAGGTTTAGGATGCCCTTCGTGAGAGCCCCAAGTGTAACAGTCTAAAGAACATGTGAGGTACAGGGTTCTGCCAGACTATAGTGTCCCAACAGCGGGTCACACTGTGCCAGGAAGCGCGAAAGCAAGAGCCAGAGGATCGCGGCTGCAGCATTCCGGGCTGTGTGGTGAGTAGATAATAATTGGAAAATTTTGGGTCATAGCCCCCTACCATGTTCAGCTAGCACTACGATTGCTAGGATTACTTCTACTGTTGTTATTCTTAGTTACAGCAGGTAGCAGAAGCCCTCAACCCAAAACGCCCAGAAGCGGAATCCGGCCAGGCCACACCGGACCGGCCAGATCCGAAGGTCTGCACTGGGGGGTGCGGGGATTCCTTTCCAAGAGGATTGCGATTATGGCCTTCAACCTCAGGCATGCAGCATATCTACATAACAGAAGGTTACAGTCTGTCCGCGAACTCCCGAACGAAGCTGAAGCCGAAACATCGCAGTTGAATAACCCTAAACCCTACAACCCGCGTTGAGGGTTGAGGGCCCAGGGGTTTCGCCAGGCTCAGAAAGACTTCCAAAGGCTAGACTAACCTCCACAACCTCAACCCTAAACGCCCAAACCCTAAACCCCGTGCTGGATTGTCGGAGTGTGAGCGCCCAAACCCCCTGCACCCTAAACCCGAAACAATGACAAACTGAAGCCCCAAAAACCCAAAGCCGTCGACAATGACAGCCAGGCCACGGAAAACAAGGAGTATGAGAGGAAGCTGGAAGCTCTTAGGGCCAAGGTGGGGATCGGGCTTAGGGTTTTAGGGTTTAGGGGTTATAGAGGTTTCGGGTTTAAGTGATCTAGGTAACTTAGGGTTAAGGGAAAATGGTTTAGGGAAAAGGGGCCTAGAGTTTAAGGCTCATGGGAAGCTTAGGATTTGGATTGTTTCAGGTTTTTTGGGCTGCAGTTTAGAGTCTAGGGTTTCGAAATTCGGGTTTGCAGCTTAAGGCTTAAGGCTCGAATTTCGGGTTTAGGGCTTATATGGTCTATAGAGTTTACAACTTCGAGCTTAGGGGCACGGTTTGTGGCATGGCACAGTTGGGCTCAGGGCACAGGGCAACACACCGTTACCGTTGCGGGTTAAGGACCGCTACTGGGCCTGGTGCTGTAGGACCTACTAGGATTCCGGGTACAGGATTTGAACGTTGGAGCTCTGGCATATTGTCATATCGGGTCAATGGTGCAGGAGGTTGTGAACAAGCCCTGCTAGGCATTTGAAGGGAGGCTTGTGGTCTTGGTTCTTGAGTGCGATTGAATTGGGGGCTGCTGCTGTTGGGGCTATGGTAGGTGTAGAGTCAAGCGTGGAGGGATGCGGTGCCTGGTGAGCAACAAGTGGCCGTAGTTATTTGGAGAGACTTCGAGCAGAGTGCGGGGCTTTGGTTGAAGCTGGAGCCCGTAAGAATACGACTGACAGCATGGCATATCCAAAGCAGCAGCACTACAGTAACGCCACATTCACGTCACCATGCTTGAGGGATCGGGTGGACTAGTAAGCACCGTTGGAAGGTAGGTAGGCTCTTGTATTGTAGTCATTCCTAGTAGTAGAGTAGGGAGCCTTTAACCTTTTTCGGGTAGTATAGTCCCTATATAACCCCTATATGTCCTAAAAGGTTAACCTTTAGTTCTCCATGAAACCCGACAAGTGGGCATTTTTATCCTGATTCCTACGATCCCATGAGTAGACCTTGGCCCCAGAACCACACCAGCCGCGATGGGGAGTTCTGGGGGGGTCCGTATAAAGTGCTGTTGAATCTTGCACATGTGCAGGCCATCCCCCGCCCGCCGCTTGCTTGCAATCAGGCTTTTATGTACCGCGGAAACGGAATGACCCGATATTCGGGACCTAGGAACCCTTCTACAAGGGAATTCCAGACAACCAGAACTGCGAGATCGTCATGAGTTTGTGGGCTTTTGCGTTGCAACTCTGAAAGCGCCTCTGTGCGGTTCTGCGGTTTGCCCTAGGTCTTAAGTGTTTGCCTATCGAAAGCAAGCAAGTAGGCTCAGGGTCGGCGTTTTGGGTTCCCTCAATGCCATACATGCTTTGGCCGGTCAGGTTCGGGTCCTTCTGATACTACAGGACGATCGGCCGATTTCTGTACAAGTTTCAAGAGTAGATGGACCCGTTGGCATCGAAGTTCATATATCTGGTTGTCTCTGCGAGTTCCAAGGAAGTACGAAACAGGATCCTAAACCTTAAGCCCTAGCTTAACCCTGCACTTGAAGGTTAAGGGCCTCCTGGGCCTCCTGTGATGTACATTTCAGAGCACCCACTACCCCCAAGGCTCCAGGTACTCATTTTGTATATACTTAGGCCTTAAAGTGCCTAGAAAGGGACCCCTTAAATGGAGCCTTTGGGTACACAGGGTCTGCATGCTTCGCAGAAAAGACAGGTGCCTTAACCCTCTGAGCCATACATATTAAACCTCAAACCCCTGACAGTGAGTGCTAGATCCTAGAACCCTGATCTCGGCGCCAAGGAAGAAGGAAAAGAAGAAAAAGAAGACTGAGCTCTAACCCAGAGAGAAGCATCTGAACCTGCAAGTCGGGGCCTTCCCGTCCTCAGTATCGCAGCTCGATCTGCAGATCGGCTTGGTCCCTAAATCTTAGGGTCCAGTGGTTGACTTGGGTTGTCATAACCTCGCAAATGCCATGCACAGAACCATGTGCAGAAACACGTGCATCCGTGAACATGCCAAAGTGGGTGCAACTGCGACTTTCTTGTGATTGCCACTGTTGTTTGATGCTCCGATAACCTGGCATGGCATGGCTCAAAATGGTGCGAAGCTTTACGCGGAGGTACATATCTCTGTGTGTGTGTGTGTCGCTTGTTCTCGGTCTTTCTTGGGTCATATGTTGTTCTTGGAGGTTCATGGGTAGTTATAAGTAGGGCGAAAGATCCCGAACACAGGTTAAAACTACCGCTACCCTGCCCTACTTACAACCCTATTTATAACTTTCCATGAACCTCCAAGTGTGTCAGCTCACAAGCGCTCCATGCTTTTCGTACGCACTGATATGCTCCGCCTTGAGTTCCCATGTCAGTCTTGGGCCTACGCACCCAACAGTAGCTGAAGTCTAACTTCCGAAGCCCTGCACCCTAAAGCCCTAAGCCATACAGGCTTAAGCCTTCAAAATGCTCAGTCTCACACCATCATCGTCCAAACCCATAAGGGCTCATAGAACCGAAGGCCCCCTTAGCTCTACGTCTTCTGGACGCGCGGCCAAGCCAACAGCCTCCCACCCGGACCAATCAGGATGTATATGAACCAGGGGTCGCGGATGTAGTTGTGAAGGGGATCTAGGGTGTATCTAGGAGGTGCTGGGACTCCAGTGAAGTGGGACATCGCCGTGAGAAGCGATCGCGAGGATAGGTTTGAACTCTGGGAGTATAGCGTCGGTACGAAGATGTGTGACAGCTGTATTCTGTGGAAGTGTGATGTCCTCCGAGTTAGCCCATTAATGCCAAAGACCGAACAAACCCTGGTTCATGTACCCTCATAGGGCTGTCAAAGTGCAGAGCCAGGGGGAATTGCACAGCTGATCGTAGATAGAGGGCAGGGCATACTTGGAGGTTCATGGGTAGCTATACGTGGGTTATAAGTCCCCTAATTTAGGCGAGAAACTTTACAGATATAGCTATCCCCTTTATAAGCCTTACTTATACCTACCCATGAAACTCCCCTTATAGAACCCTTACAGATCCCGTAAAGGAGCCCCCCACGTAAACCCTGCCCATGGACCTCCAAGCATGGCATAGACTTCAAGAGTTGCTTCCCCGCGTGGCTCAGCGCGGCCACCGTGCCAGCAGAAACCATGTGGAGCCCAGGCGTGCGCGAGGCAGAAAAGCCGTGGAGAGCACTTCGAAACCCACATCGGTAATCTCAGTAATTTTTGTTTGACAAGAAATCAGCATTCAGCATCCTTAAGCCCATTAAGCCCTAAGTCAACACCCAAACCCTCAACGCCCGCGAACCTTGTTGCATCCTCGATCCGAACCCTTCAAGATGTTTCAGGGTGTGGGTGCGCTGGGTGAAGTTCTAGCTCTTCTAGCCCGGGGTTTTGGGTGTTTATTTATGCTTTCAGCGACTCGTCTTGCATATCTCTGTGAACCTTGACCCCGAACCCCAACTCAATCCAAAACACATGCGAATCCAGCTTGGAATGACTTGCAGGCTTCAGGGTCGCAGGCCAGGGTTTGCGTCTAAATTTTGAACCGTTTCATTGAGTGTTCAGGTGGTTGAAGAATCGAAGTGGGAATCTGAAGCTGTGCCACTGATGGCGTGTGACCCTGCTTACAGGGTCCGGGCCGCACATGCACTACGGAACTAGTGGTCGCAGTCGGGCATTTTTGCCGTTGACAAGCGGTCTCAGGCAAGCTGATACTTTGCCCTGGCCGAGCAGAGACTGCAGAAACGATTGCGCTTGTTTCAGAAGTTTAGGATTGTCGGGGCGGGGGGGGGGGGGCGGGGCGGACAGGAAATTGGCACAGAGGCCTCGCTCATCCTCCGCAGCTTGAGCTCAAGGAAGCGATGATGATATCGCACGGCCTTCAGAAGAAGGCGTTATCTGCTTGCCAAGCATGGAGGCTGCTGAGCTCCATCGTGGTGCATGGCTTTTGCGCCTTGCCTTTCGAAGTGTTCCAGTGTGAGACACGTTGAGGAAGCTACTTCAGATACTGCTCTAAGCATGGCGACATGATTGGGCGTGGTGTTGCGGTCGCTGTTGGAAATGTGCATTCCTCGAGCCTTTGACCTCAAACAGCAACCTCGAAGCCACCTGGAAGGTAAAGCAAAAACCTAGACCCCGCATGCCCAAACCAAACAAACCCCTTACAGTGATCCAAATGGAAAGCTTTGTCACGCTCTAATCAAAACCCCTCCCAACCCGTGTATGAGGAAATTTGGAACTATAAAGCATTCGTTAAGTTTCCGTATTCCGAGGCATGCTTTGCAGCCTGATTTTTGCCTTGCTGCGCCTGGCGGCTGGTGCCGAGAAGTGCGCAGGGGTGGAGTTCCTCGAAGGCCACGTCACACATGCGAGGCAGGGTAAAGGGGTACCTTACCGGGGTACCTTGTTTAAGGTGGTCTTACATGGCTGTTAAAGGTTTGAACGATTTAGGGTATTCTTTCAAACTGAAAAACTTTCTGGAAGGGGTATGGAGGTACTTTCTCCGAGCTGCTTCGGACAACGGCAAGGGACTAGGTTGTCGGCTCTTGCAGTAATCGGTTTAAGAGTTGGGAGTCGAGGTGTTGGATGTTCCGGTGAGTGATCCCCTGCACGCGAGGTCGCATGAAGCCAACCATGCTTTCAAGTATCCGGTGCGCAGCTCGGCTGCAAGAAGCGACAGTCACCGGCATGTTTCATTTTCAGTTGTGTTTTGCATTCGTATACATGCGTCATCCCCATACTGAAAAGTTCAATACATGTTCTTCAGAAATTATTGCAAGTCGAAGCCTGCCCGACACGAACAACATGGCAAAGCCAGACACAATCTCCGAACGAAGTTGGAGCCAAGGCGCAAAGAAGACGAATTGCGGCGAATGAGCACTTCAACATTTGCCCCCGTATCCACAGACCTTTTATGAGAAAGGATATGCCCACGACGAGCACAAAGATTGTCATAAAGCGCTCATGTCCGACTGGCTGAAGGGTTAAATAAGATTCTTGACTCCTCCAAAGCGAACCTATGACCTATGAGCACGAGCCCTGCTGACAAGGTATGGCTTTAGTAGACTTGGACTCACCGCCAGCCTGGTGGTCAGAGGCCGTTGTTAGCCGGCATGGGGCGGGATGGACGATTGAAGTCTTTGCCATTTCCAAGGTTCAACTTGCGGCGTCAGGATGTTGCGGGTACCGCCGTGCTCTAGGTCACAGTTTCCACGTGGGTTCTGTGATGTCTTTGGTTTATATAGTAGTGTCCTGTTCAAGACTTCAATATGTTTTGCCCGAAATCGATCCCTAAAACCTTACGTGCTTGGAACAAGGGCCAGGCCAACACGTAAAGCATGAACAACAACCCAAACAAGAGAAGTCATAGAGCCATAGTCCAGATCGTGCAGAGTCTAGAAAGCCGGAAACAACACGAATTTAACGATGAAGCATGTTTTCACAATATAGGGTTACAAGAAATAGAAGACGTGCAAGAATGATCAATAACGACAATAGCAACACCAGTACCAGATCAAGAACGAACAAGAGGAAACTGGGGAAACCGATTTCGAGCAGAAGCAGCATACACTGACATGCTAGAGATCTGTCGGCATGCTAGTGTTTTGTTTGGAAGGAGCCGGTGCCGCGGCTATCTGCCAAAGAGGCCATGCAGTTGTAAAAGATTGAGCGTTGATGCACCAAGCTTCAGGTGCGTAGGCTCAAGGGTGCAGGGTTAAGACTTAAGGTTAGTTTTTGGTGAACATGTTGTTCTTGGCCATGGGTCTCGGAGAGGGGAACAGGAGGTTCGATTTGCATGGTAATCGATATAATATCTGTTGGAAGCTTGCATGTGGTTACACATACAACCTTAGTAGGAATGTTTCGACGGGCTTGTGATCTTTATGGCTCGCCATGCACGCAACTCTTGTTCAACTCCAACCCCGACGTGCTTGATATTGCAGCCCATCGACAAGAGTCGGCTGGCGATGTTAGTACCAAGTAATCGGAACCAACAGCGTGGCCAGCACTTTCCAAGTAGAACCGAAAGCCTAAACTCGGTGGCAATTTGGGAAACTTTTAAATTTCCCTTATGGTTCCTATAGAGGTACCTATTCATAAATACTTGTCAGAGCCCCAAAACTAAGTAAATCAGTAGAGCCTTGGAGTTGAGAAGAAACAGCATTCCAGGCGCGGGAGGCACTCGGGGTCCCTTCGGGCCGTGTCTCGGAGAAGGATCAAAAGTTTTTGGGCAGACATTTGGGGGTGCCATCGCAGGTGATTCGGGAGAGAGGCGATCTTGCAGCAGTCGGTCCTACCTACCCTACCGCATAGATCCTTCCGTTAAGTTAAAGCCGTCTAGCAAGCATAGCATAGCCTTGCTGCTTTAAGGTTTCGGGCTGTTCAGGAGACAAGGATTGGGGCATCAAACTTCAGCAGGTTTTCAGACACGGGCTTGAGACATCACAAGAAATTCATCCTGAAGTTTGTGCGAATCCTGATTGAAAAGTTCATGCGCCAGGACATACAGTTGTAATCCGGGCTTTAAGGCTTCGACCGGGTTCTCTTGTTTCGGGTCCAGGGTCGCGAGCTCTTCAGGGTTGAGGGTTGAGAAGTTCGGGGTTCACGGTCGAGGGAGTGGAAAACCAAAGCTACTCGTCGTCTTGTAGGAGATCCCGTTTACAACAACAATACAACACCCTTGATCAGGGGCTGAGGTTCGAAAGAAGTCCCAGGGTTTGAGGTTTAAGTCCATCTTTTTCAGTTGTTCGTCAAGCCTCGTGGGCTGAAAGGTGGAAAAGAGTCGATGCTGTGGTACGGAAGCTACTGCCGGGCTTTCCCGGATGTTTCACCCAAACACCCATACAGATTTTGAGACCAAGCACGAAATCCGTATACCAAACCGAAGCCAGTTTGCAACTGATCGCAACTTCGCTTCATCATTGTAGCTTTCCGTTCTGAAAACTTGACAGCATCCCTAAGTCCCAAACTTCACATGCTTCCTACAGTAAGCCCCAGTCCCGGACAAGAAGCAACTCGGGAGGGCAAGGTCGGGGCTTCGGCATTCAACAGGTATGTTCCTTTGCTTGGAAAGCCTCCTCGTTCTGCCAATTTAGGTACACCTCAACCCTGAACCCTGCGACAGATCCTAGAGTGCTCTCACAGCTCAGGCGTCAGGGTGCTGACTACGCCAAGCAGTGCCGGGTGGGAAGCCCAGTATCGAAAGCCTCGCTGCACAGGGCCCCAACCAATCACAGTTCATCAGTTGGTTGGTCTAACCTGGGCCCCCCACAGTATGTAGAATAATAGCCTTTTCGGTGTTGGGCCATTATTTTACTTACTTTGGGGGTCAATGCACCAGGCTGCCGTGTTTCAGATCGTAATTTCTGGAAGCTCAATCGAGTAGGGATTTCGGAGCTTTGTTCTTGGTCGCGGGTTCAGAACTTCAGGCCCATGTTTACCTGGTTTAGAGCTTACTTCCCTCAGCCTCCAGCGCCAGGACGAAAACTGCGGGTCTTGAGCTGGTGATGTTGGATTTACGTTTACACTAGGTTACAGCTCTGTCCAGTCAGAGGGTTAGGAACGTGTTATTTGGGCTTCATGTTCATGGATGCGTGTGGAGCTCAACGAGCCGCATCTTAGGACGGTTTGTTTTGGCCTGTCAGGCTGTTTCTTGCAGTTCGGAGCGAGTTCAGACCGAGCCAGGTACCACCAGAATCCTATTCAGATCTATTTCTGCGACAACAAGACCGCGCAGAACCAGGGCATTTGTGAGGCGCGGTCTTGTTCAAGCATGAAGATCTTGAGGTTCGAAGTGTAGTAGACATATGTCCGTATGTATATATGTTGTGACGACTAGCCCCCGCATGGTGAACACCTATCGCCCTGAAGGTGAGTTCGTTCAGCGAGCAGGCTGAAAGCTTGAAAGAAGGAGCCCGAAACTGTCCGGTCCAACCCCGGGGTGAAATCCTACATTGAAAACATTGACAAGTCAAGAAAGGTGCTTCTCCCAGCATGTACGGGTGCTCCGACACAACTCGCCGCAGCATATTGGAATGCGGCAAGGATAATGTGAAAAGATTCGTGCACTCCACATGCTTCCGATGATTTTGTTTGGCTCAGGGGAGTCTTCGAGGCTGCATTCATTCATGCTTGTCAGTTTGTGGCATGCGGGTCCCCTGCCTTCGCATTTGCAATGCCCTCCTGGACGCGTGAGTGGCTGGACTGCTCATTCGCAGTTTTCAGCTATTTGGGCATATGGCGTGTTTGTGGTGGGTTTCGCATTGCCAAATCAAAGGAAATCCCAAGCAGGACGACTTGCTAGGAAAGCATCTGTTCGGGAAGACACGGTCTTCAAAGCAAGGCCGGAGAGCATGCTCGATCGGCTGCAGGATCACGCCGCGGCCCTGGGTGGCAAGTGCCTCGCGATCGGGTACAAAAGCCGCATGACCAAAGTCCCGTGGCAGTGCCAACATGGACATACCTGGGATGCAAGGCCAAAAAATGTGCTAAATAAACAAAGCTGGTGCCCCGAGTGTGCCAGAAACAAGCAGCGGATCCCACTGCAACGACTGCAAGATCACGCGAAAGCACGAGGTGGACGGTGTCTATCAACGAGCAAGTACAACAGGTCCAGAGGCAAGGTCACATGGCAGTGCAAGCTGGGACACACCTGGGAGGCCACTGTAAACAAAGTTGTTCACTGCGGGACCTGGTGCCCCAAATGCTCCCGCAAAGGGCGAACTTGCAAGAAGCGCAGCTTGAAGGACTTGCAGGAGCATGCTGCTTCCCTCGGTGGTCGATGCCTCGCAACTACTTATGAGGGTATGCTGGCTCCGGTGTTGTGGCGGTGCCACAAGGGTCACGTGTGGTCGGCAAGGCCGAGCAACATCTTGCACCACAAGACTTGGTGCCCAGCCTGTGCAGGGAATGCGTTGCTAGACGTGGGCTATTTGCATAAGCATGCGATCCGTCGGGGTGGCGAATGCTTGGCGACTGAGTATGTGAATAACCAGTCGGCGGTGACCTGGAAGTGTGAGCACGGCCACATCTGGCAAGCAAGACCGCACGACGTTCTAAATAAGGGCTCATGGTGCCCCCACTGCAGGAAGATTGGCTTGACGCGTCTCCGGGCCCATGCCGCCTCGCTCGGCGGAAGGTGCTGTGCCAAGTCGTACAGGAACTCGTCCGAGCATCTTCTCTGGGAATGCAAACTGGGACACAGGTGGGAAGCCTCCGCCTCAAACGTGTTGCATGGTAACTCGTGGTGCCCACGATGTGCGGCCAGCACCTGGCGCACGGAGGCGGAGATACGCAGCATCCTAGAGACCATCTTCCATCCGGCTAAATTTCCGTCTCGTTACCCTCCTTTCCTGAAGGGCTTGCAGTTGGATGGGTACTGCCTTGACTTGCAGTTCGGCTTCGAGTACCAGGGCGAGCAGCATTATGATCCCGAGAACTATTTCCATTTCGGCGACTCTTCCAGCTTCCGCTCTCAGCAGGAAAGGGACGCAAGGAAGATGGAGCTTTGCAAGCAGGAAGGAGTGCGATTGCTGATCGTCCCATGCTTCGTGAAGGACAAGAGGACCTTCGTCCTCACGGCCTTGTTGCAATGGTTTGCATGGGCCCAAATCACGCCAACCTCATTGGTCAGCCGAGGGTGCTCATAGTTACCCCGGCCTTTCGAACTCTGCTTTCCGGGAGAGCTTTTTCCTGAAAGATGTCATGCCATTGTTCAGTTCATGTGGAGTCGCCACTGATATGTAGGGCCTTTGAGCCAGGTTTGCGGCATGGCGTTGTTTTCAGTTTTTCCGACAAAGATTTCGGAGGAGGAGTCCAATGACTGCCAAGCGGCTTGTCGCCCTTGAGGTGAAAAGCATGCGACAACATCTCCCCACCCAAGGGTGCCAACTCAATCTCCGAAGGGCAATGTCAGCACTATATGCCCGGGCTCCGCAATACAACCGCTACGTGGTTATGCCTTCATGCTTTCTTCATATTTCAACCTCTTGGGACACGACACCTTGGTTCGGCCTCAAGTTTGAAATCCCTGAAACTCCAAGCTCCAAAGCCTCGGGCACCGGCCCACCGAGTCAACTGAACCACCACTCCAAACCCCGAGACAGGCGAACACACAAACCACATGCCCTGAGTATCGACGTCTTAAGCACAAGTACACAGGCTCGTCGTAAGGGCTAACAGGCCATGTCTTAAGCAAACTTGTTAGGTGAGCAGATTGTCTGAAGGCCGAGCCTTGCATGAGAACCCTTGATCTCATGGTCAACCCCTACAGCATCTACCGAAAGTTTTGAATCCGAAGCGTCACCCCCTAAAGTATCAACCCAAACTCATGGTCATCGACCTCCTGCACCTTGAACCTGTCGAGAGGTCACCAACACGCCTTGGAACCATCACGTCTTCTTCGCTTTCGACCGCACGGGCGCGGAGCTGCCAAAGCCGTTGCACGTGTCCCCACTGATGGCCCCTTTGCTGTTGCTGAGGGTTCCGGTCTGAAGAGCTCCGGTTTAGGGTCTTGGCTGTTGCGGCTCGATGTTGTAGGTGTTTCGTTTGAGATGTCGGTTTCTGGGCGCGAAAATTGGTACGAGTATTTCGGAGTTGAGCTTGGGTCACCTCGAGATTCAGATGTAGGATTTACAGTTTCAGTGTTGGGCGTTCAGGTTTAGTCTTGGCTTTGTATATTATCTCCTAGGCTCAGGGGCGATGCTCTTGTGCGCATTAGGACTGCTATGAGTCCATGAGCATTGGGTTTGTGGCTTTGGAGGGATAAGGATAGGTGATGGTTTCAGGCTTCAGTCAGTGCATGTACGTCCAGTCGTTTGGCAAATTCGTGGCTGAGTTCATCCTCGCTCTATCCAGAACAGTAGAATCAGATGACTGCATAACTCTGACTTGACCTGGGCTTGATTGCTGTTATCTGTGAACCGTTGACTGTTACTTGGTGCCTTGCTCGTTGCCATTCTTGAGCTTCTTGCGTTTCCGACATCGACCGCATCTCTTGAGGCAGTGCTTTAAGGGGGCTCTTCAACCCCTCACTGCTGGTGCGTAGGCTTTAAGCCCCCATCACCCTAAACCCCGAAAGTTTCAACCCCTGAGCAGAGCGCTGCAACCCGTACATGGGCCCGAAGCGGCACATGAAAGCCTTTGGGCAGACTACGTGACCAAACCCGAACACTATGCCACATAAAGTTATACCCCCGAACCCCAAAACATGTCGTTCCGAAGCCCGAAACTATAGTACAACACACAACCTCTCAGCTGTCTAAGCCCTAAGTTTGCCTTAGATAAATCTCTAAGGCCCAACCCTCGAAGTCCTGCGCCCAAGGATCTCCAGCATCGCTGGCAGATCCAAACCTCCGACCCTTCGGCAGACCCTCTGGAGGCCCATTCCGGGGGTTTCCGAAAATGGGGGACCCGAATATAGTACCCTAAATACTAGGATCCTTATTATAAGGACCCCAAAATAAGGTACCACTAATTTTGGGAAACTCCCAAATTGAAGGGGAATTACAATACAGGTTGTTATTTACGTTCAGAGGTTTGTGGGCCCATCTTGGGATCAGGTACTACTTTGTTAGTGTTGTGGGTTCAGTTTCCGTTTCTGGGGATTGAAGGATAATTACAATACAGGGTGTTATAAACGTTCAGAGGTGTTTGGTTGTTGCATTTCTCCAAAGCGGGCTGCCGCGAGATTTGACTGTAATTCCGAAAGCTTGTCAGTCTTTGGGTACATGAAGGGTTTGCAGATTACCCTGACATATAGAGCATATAGACCCCCAATAGATGGATCTTTACACTGAAGACATTTAAACTGTCCAGAAATCGTAGATTGTAGTTGCAGAATCGGCTGAAAGGTTTTGGGGCTTTGATCTCCAAAGATGGGAGAAGAGGGAAAATTGGGACCCTGAACCCTTCCAGTTGAGGGCTTCTAGAACAGAAGAACGGAAAACAAGTCCTCTTGGGGTTTATATAATCCTACCCTAGTTGAGAAGGTTGACTTTTTGGGCTAGGGTATTCAGCCCCTAACTTACCTTTGGTTAGTAGGGAATGGAAGAAATCTAGTAATAGTAGTTATAATTGTACCCCATTCCTCCATTCCGTACTAACCAAAGGTAAGCTATAGGATTATTAAAGCCCCTATATCATAGTACCCTTATAGATCCCTTATACTGACCCTTACAGACCCCTTATAAGGCCCCTTTCATGTTTGGGCTAGGGTATTCAGCCCCTATAAGGAGCCCTTCTCGCCAGGTCTCCGTGGATGTGCTCCCTGGCCCCGAGGCTGGGGCGAAGGCATCACCGATCTTCCGGGCGCACCTCAGGCGCCTTGGAAGCGATTTAACAAGGGTTTAGGGTTTAAGGTTTAGGGGTTTAGGGGTTTGGGGTTTAGGGTTTAGGGTTTAGGGTTTGGGGTTTAGGGTTTAGGGTTCGGGGTTTAGGGGTTTAGGGTTTAGGGGTCTAGGATTTAGGGTTTAGGGTTTGGGGTGTTGAGATTGTGTACATGGTGATAGTAAGGTTGTAAGTAGGGTTGTAGAAGTAGGCAAGGCTTTTGAGGTGTTTGTATGGTCTTATGGGGTTGTATAAGGTGTTGGTAGGGTCGTAGGAGTATAGTGGGATGAAGAGGTCTATGAAGTTTACTTGGTGTTAAGGGGTTTTGGGAGGTGTTGGTATTTTGCTGTGCAGGTTTTGTTAGGATTGTTTGATGGGCTATACACTTGCTATCAGGGCTGTATAGGGGTGTTATGCAGGGTTCAAGAAGGTTTGGGGTTTATGGCTCGTAGTGCTCATGGACAAGCCTTGTACGAGCAGTGCAGAATATATGAGTTTGGGTAGGAAGACGGTAGCCAATTCGTACATCAGGGCTGATTTGCGGGGGTTCGGACACTGGGGTAGTAGAGGTTTTGAGGGGTTGAGGGTAAAGCTAGGTCAGGGGTATGGTTCAAGCTATGGGGGCTTTGTCCGATTACCCTCGAAAGCCTCAAAACGCACATTGACAGAGAACTGGAGCAATAGAATTCTTGCCTCCTTGGCCTTTTTTCTGGCAGGCTCCAACGCAGCCAGTTGCCCCATGCCAGAGCCGAACGTGCAGGCGAGGAGCAGGAAGCCCGTATTTCAGAGGTAGTAAAAGTATGCAAACAAATTGGAAAATCAGCTTATTCGTGAAGTTCAAGGTTTAAGCGTTCTTGGGGCCACACGAGCCCAATATGTAAGTCTAAATCCTGAACATCTCAAGCGGCAGCTGCTGCAGAAACAGCTCGCAGTTGGCGTAAGCCTCAAGCCCCACGCCTAAAGTGCAGGTTCATTCCGAATGCTCTGGGATTATGGCTTTCAGCCGCAGCGCACGGCCGTGCGAATCTACCTCAACGCAGTGAAGCTTATGCGAGCCTCGGTCGGACCCTGAAGGCCTCAAAAGGCTCGGGCCCAAACTTCAAAATCCCGACTTCTAATCCTTATACAAGCTTGTATAACCCGTAAACCCGGGACCCAAAATCCGAAGATCCATCATTATATAGACCTGCTCCTTAATTATTCTAAGCCGTTCTCTCTTGGAGTCTTCAAGGATTTTGCATCCTGCGCTCTTGATGCAGCTTGGTTCATGACTGTTTAGCAGCGTGGGGTTCTATGGTCTTGTCGAATATTTGGGCCTGGTCTCGGTTTAGGTTTTCCATTCACTTACCTTTGCTTAGTAGGGAATGGCAGAATGGTAGTAATAGTAGTTATATTTGTACCTCATTCCTCCATTCCCTACGAACCAAAGGTAAGTTCAGCTATTTGAAGGCTTAAGTTCCCATAGAAGACTTCACGGATGCTGCCGAGGAAAAGGCGTGGGTTTCCGATCTCACCCGAAGCCTGTCTACAAGGAGGCCGGGCTGAAAAGTGCCGGAGTTCTTGATAAAGACCATTTGGACTCAAACCCTTACAGAACCCTAAACGATCCGGAGCCCCAAGCCTTAAGCCTGAAGTTTGGAACCCGAACCCCTAAACTTGAATCCTACACGGGAGTTTCCGAAAATTAGGGGTACCTATTTTGAGGTCCTTATAATAAGGATCCTACGATTTAGGGTACTATATTAGGTTCCCCCTATTTTCGGAAACTCCTACGTACACCTTCTGAACCCTAAGCCGTAAACCCTAATCCCTACGCCTTAACCCTAAACCCCAAACCCAAAACCCTAAACCCCACCTTCTGAAGCCACGAGGCAGTGCTCGGGGCCCAGCAGAGCTTCCGAGGACGCGGCGCGAAGGAGCCCTGGTGGCGCGACAACGAGGCCGCGGAAGGGCCCTAAACCCCTAAACCCTAAACCCCTAAACCCTATAACCCCTAAACAAGGGCCCTTTAAGTGGAGTTTTGGGATTGTTGCAGTTTTTGGGGTTGGGTTTCGGGGGTTTAGGGTTTAGGGGTTGCGGGCTTTCGGGGTTTAGGTTTGGGTATCCGGGTTAAGGGGCTACAGGTATGGGTTTTGAGGGTGCCGGATTCATGCTTCAGGGTTTGAGGTTGGGTTCGGTTCTCGGGCTATAGTTGTCCGCCAAACACCACCACCACCACAAGCACTTTTCGGCAGAAACACTGTATTTTGCTAGAAGTCTGAACTGAACAGGCTGCTTGGCAAAGCCGTACACCGCGGTAGGGTCACTACCTACAAGTGCCATG